TATGGTGTCTGGACCTTGAATCTTTACGCATAGAAACATCATCATACATGTTGCTGACTTGATCATCTACAACTCTAAATTCAGTGAAAAAGCAAAGTCCTCACCTCAGCTTCAGAATCCTGAGCCTGAGCTTTTCGATGCCTTTCAGCGTTCTTTTTTTCACGGTCCTTTCGCTCCTGCTCGATCATCTGGAAGAAGTCCTCCTCGGCCTTCTTAATCAACTCCTCGGGCGTGAGAGGGGCGTCTTCACCGTCAGCAGCAGCTCCCCCACCACCGCCCTCCGCCTTTGCACCTTCTTCTCCCTAATGATTGGAGGAGAAAAGTGACCAATCAGAGTAGACCTTTAATACCACACCCCGCTGCTGCCATGTCTCATATGCTCTGTTTCCCATCCGAGTTGCATTTCTTAACCTGTCGAGTTTAATTGACTGTTATCTTCTTTTTCACCGGAGCAGGCCGAAGATGATGTCCTGAAATACCTTTGTTAAGGTCTACATCGGTCCTGTCCAGTTAGCCGTTTATTCTACCATTGATTCGAACGAAGAGGTGGCTTGAGGTATAAAGTAGCACTGAAACCATATGCTGTGTGATGAAGCACGTGTCAGGCTACTGGGGTCATCCATGTGGGGCTACCTCGAGATGAAATCGGGCTGGCTTCGCAACGAATGTACGCTTTCTAATTCAAAACTAGACCTGGTTGAATGTATCTCTAATAATGATGGTCAACAATTTCCATTCCATAAAAAGAAAGGGAAATGTCGCACTAGGGGTTTCGGGGCAAGAGGTTACATTCAACTGGGATGGGTTGGGGAGTTACGGTGACGCGAATCCTGTGGCGATAGGTTCTGCAAGTGAGAGGAGATGCGAACGTTTGGATTGTGGGCCACGTGTTCGGGGGATGTGCAGAATCAGTGAAGTTCTACTTGGCCAAGCACGGATAGACTGTTGTTGTTTCAGGCTGGGCGCTGGTTAGTGGACCATGCGCGCAAACCGGCATAGTATGAATCAAGGTCCACATTTCTGTTAATACTGGCCGGGCTCGAGTGCCAAGCTTCGAGGAATATCACTTTTGAAGAACTTTTTCAATGCTAGCTCGATCCCCACTGTGTATTACGTTCGAAATTGCCTATCAGCTGCTAAAAATTATAATTATTTCTACGTTTTATTTATAATTCTTACTTTACAGATACGCATCTGTATTTTAGCACCATACATGAGGACCGAACGGGCATAAAAGGTCCGAAAAAGTCATCTTGGCTAGGACCAAAATTGCCTTCTCATTCTGAGCACTAAGCAATCTGTTGACCGGCCCCAATGTATTTTTCTGCCTTAAAGGACTACCAGAGAAACAACTTATTCCTCAGCTTTTTGGATTCTACTACTGTGTTTGTATTCTGACTGTGAAAGTAGACCATAGTTTTCAAAATAAATGACCTAATTCCCGGAGTCTTAATATTTCATCACCGATTTTTAGAGAGGACTACAGTCACAAGACATTTCGTAGGTTGCTCGTGAAGACAGTTTTGCCTAAGAGGAGAGGTAGAAGCAGTCAATGATCGTATTTTCTTATAATTATTACGGCTGCGATCATGACTGATATAGTTGGTCTCGATGTCCGAATGGTACTTCTCCACGCGCGAAGATCCGTGGCAGAAACCCTGGACAGTTCAATCCATTCTCTTTGCCCGCGCTGGAGACCGAATACCGAAGGTCCAAGAACAACCTCCATGTCCTGACAGACTGAGTCGAGTCAGGTTTTTAGTTGAATCCTTCTTCGAGGTCTCCCCTTAGGTAACGGTGTCGGTTCGAGAGCAGTAACACTGAGCTCGTGAGGTTGACGACGAAGAACGTGCCCAAACCACCACAGTCCTCTTTCTTGGATAGCCTAGGATATCTTTGCGATGTTGTTGCAGCGAGTGCGAGAAGTCAGTTTAATTCCCTCGAAGGATGATTCTCAAACCGTAGTGGTCAAATACACCCAGTTTCCTTTCATCTTTCATGCGTATAGCCCGGAATTCCCAGCCGTTGAGAAGGATAGCACACAAGGATACACAGTACACGCAAACCTTCGTGGCAATAGAAATACCGCGTCGGGTCCCTGAGCAATTTCTCCGACTTGATACATCTCGTCGAGCTGCATCGATTCGGGAGACAATTTCATCCTTACTCTGTCTATTCGACAGCAACCTTGCTCCGAGGTATTTGAACTGTCTACGTCTTCCAGTTGGCAACCATTAATCTGGAGAGGTGCCTTCTCTTGGACAGAGATTCAGCACGAAAGCATTTAGTTATTCCCCAGTGTTTATGGACAAAACTGATCGATTTAGCGACCTCGTGCACATGTGAGACCATATCAATCGTAGGCCCTAGGTTATCAGGGTCTTCATTGGTGCCGCACTGTATTGTCCATAGAACAGGTCACTAGTATCGCCTGCAGATTTGTCATCCGTCCGTCATCTATCGTGCTCTGTCGGCTCGTATGATTTTTTCTTATACAAGTTAGATCAACATGCAGCTCGATTGAGCAGTTCTCAGGCGGCCATGCTCTCCGCGACTAGC